ATATATCTATATCTATATATCTATATCTATATATATATTCTGTTATGTTCAGTCACATTTTCAAAGAGCCGCTGCAGAGGGACCAAAGAGCCACCTGTGGCCCCAGAGCCACAGGTTGCAGACCCCTGGTCTAGATAAATGAAAAATAACTTCAAACATACACTCTGAAATAAAACCAGATAATTGCCAGGGCAGATGATAAATCACAAAATTTAAACAAACTATGCATCTTTTTTAAAATTTTTATTAAAGTTTATATTTTTTTTCAGTTTTCAAGATGGAGAATTTGAGAATAGCAAATCAAAATTTAAAAATGTTGCATGTTGCCAGAACGGGTCATAGTTTTTGTGTGTATTTTTATGATTTATTTTTCCCTTTTCAGGTTCTCCATTGGTGAGTCATCGTCCTCCATCTCACTCTGTCCTCAGTCCAACTACCTCCATGTCCTCTAACTGCATCCATTTACCTCCTCTTTGCAACATTCTTCTACCAATATACCCTCTGTCCCTCCTCTGGACATGTCCAAACCATCCTCTCTAACTTTATCTCCCAGTCCTTCAACCTGTGCTGTACCTCTGATGAGCTCATTCCTAATCATCTCCATCCTTGTCACTTCCCAGGAGAACCTCGACATCTTCAGCTCTGACACTTCCAGTTCTGTCTCCTGTCTTTTTGTCAAAGTCTCTGTCTCCAAACCGTACGACATAGCTGGTCTCACGTGCTCTGTTGTAATCATTTCCTTTTGCCTTTGCTGCCACCTTTTTGTCCCAAACCACTGCTTGAGGCCCCACAAATGCTCAGAAACTGAGAGAATTTCAAATCCATAGAGTTGTTTTCCTCAGTGAAAGGTGGTGTCTGGCTCCATAACAAATACCTTTGGACATATTCAGCAATCCGACAGGATGAGCAAACATAAAATAAACACATCATAGGTGCAATTTACTTGCTGACTAATATAAAGGAAATTTACATTATTTAATGAACTTATGAACAAATGGTAAATGCTCTGTACTCATATAGTACTTTTCTTCTCTCCATCCAGGACACTCAAAGCACTTCACTACAATTTGTGCCTCATTTACACAGCACTCTATTAGGTCTCTACAAAGCTAACATTTACAATCATCTATGGAGACTAATCAGTACCAATCACATTCATACACTGATGGGACACACATCAGAGGCATTAGGGGTTACGTGTCTTGCCCAAGGACACAACTGAGACGGCTGGAAAAGGGGATAGAACCAGCAACCTACTGGTTCCAGGATGACTCCCCTAACCACTCTGCCACAGCCTTCCAAACAAACCTTCATGTTCCTCCAAACATGATTCATAAACATCTGATCAAGGATCATCTTAATTAGAACTTAATCTTAATTCGTGTTTCAGCTTCTGTCTGCTTCAGCAAATGTGTGCTCCTTGTGCTTTCTTTATGCTATTTGAAGAAATTCAAACTACATTTTAGCTGTTCTTGGATGGAACGTGGCAAGCACTTTCAGAGTTTCTCCTGAAACTATCCTAGTTTAATGTTTTTGTTTCTACTTCTAGCCTTTAATTGAAAATAAAATTTCACTTTTTCTTTAATTCATAACAAAAACCTTCAAAACACAATAAAAGTGTAAATTATTTATTTAACCAGGCAAGCCCTGTTGAGATCTGAGATCTCTTTTTCAAGGGAGGCCTGGAGGTAACCTATTGTACATGTTTTTAGGAGTGGGGGAAACCGGAGTACCTGGAGAAAACCCCAGGTCCGAACCAGGGATCAAACCCAGGACCTTATTGCTGTGAGGCATTGGTGCTAACCACTGAGCCATTGTGCTGCCAGCAAAATAAGCTAAGTCATCAGTCATACAAAGTTCTTCATGTTCAAATCGTCAACTTTTCCACAAAACTGCATGTTAATCCAAAAAGAAGCTGGTCCAGAAACTAACGTCTCTCCTCTGCTCTGTCTGTACTTTAGTTGGTTTTTACCTTTGACCGTCACTGTGACCTCTGTGCTGGTGGAAAACCTCCTGATGTCCTGCACCACAGACCAAGCGATGCAGTAGTAAGTCCCAGCATGCTCTGGAGTCACCCCCTCCATCAGCAGCTGGTTCCCGGTGAGGTGGAAGCCGGATGTTGATGGTGTCACTTCCTTCCTGTTGAAAAACCAGGTGTAGAACAGGTGGGAGCCCCTGTCAGCGTCACACCTCAGGATGATGCCTGACCCCTCATAGACAGTAGGGGGAGAGGGTTCAGAGGTCACTCTGGTGTTTGATGCTGGAGCTGGAAAACACAGATAACATGTTTGTGTTTGAAGTTTAGTAAAGCTGGGTTATCTACAACCTGATACTTACTGACTAAAGTCAGTCTGATTCTGTTGCTGACTCCAGTGCTTCTTCCAGCCGTGGCCGTACACTGGTACAGCCCAGCTGATGCTGCTTTGACCTTCAGGGAGAATGTTGCGTTCCGGTCCCTTTTGTGACCAACATGTATACCGATGAGGAATTTACCATCCCTGATCAGCTTGTAGATGATCGTTGGAGAAGAACTGTGTGCAAAACATTGAAAAACCACCTTTGTGTTGAGAAAGGCCATGTCAGGACCATTCAGCATGGGCCGAAGGGAGCGTGAGCCACCTGAGAAGTACAATTAAACCAAATGTTTGGATCTGTACAACATGTAACAAACTTGATTATCTTTTTTACACTTAATGTAATGATTTAACTAGACATGAATCTTCTGAAAGTTAAATTTAGCATGCTTTGTCTCATATTTATGGTTAAAAACCTGTTAACATTCAGCGGAATACCCGCGTGCCATTTTTGGTTTGCTTTATTTTGAAATGTCTTTCTGTGTTTCTGATCTATCTATGTCCATGTTCAATGCATCAAAATAGCCGTCTAGGCCCTCCTCTTTCGATTGACACCTCATTTGACCAACTGAGTTCAAGTATCGACTGTCCAGAGCCAATGATATATGAGAAGTGACCAACTTCCAGTTTCCATCATCCTGGGCTAGATTGACTGTAGAATTGGCCAGTCAGCTCCGAGCTTCGTTCTGATGCCACAACTGTGTAGCCAATCACTGTACCTTTCATTTGGTATATATATTGAGGGGGTGGGAACTTTGTTTAGTGACGGCACAAGCTAAATACGGAGTTGGTCGCCATTTTTAGGCAGTCGTGCTATGCTACCAAACGAAGCAATGCTCAGAGGAAATAATTTTTTCCATCGTTTTTTGGCCAGTTAGCTGACTAAACCTGCTGATAGGATGAAAATATATTTGTTATTAAGTGTTGCAAGTGCTTCAAGACACGGAAGAGTGATTTTTGTGGCCAGGAGATGTAAAAATGTTTGGATAAAAACACTTACGGTCGGCCATTTTGAGTCGCTAATTTCGTCATATTTGAGGACACGTGTCAAACGTAAGTGAAAAACAAATATTTTTTCGCTGCTGGTGGTTTTATAAGCTGTGTGGAATGTTAATGCTCTGAAAGATATAAGGATAAATTGTTTATTCTTGTGTTTTGGTTGTTTAGTGGTGGAAATTTGTCTAAATGTACTCCAGTTGGCCTGAATATTAATATATACTGTATTTTTTAATTTAATCGTGCTGTGAGTAAATATGGATGGTAGAATGTGTTTTGTGGGGGTTTTATTTTTAATTTGAGCCCAGAGTGAAGTTCCTGTGTTGAAGCATTTAGAAATTAGTGAGACAAAGTGTACAGTTTGGACAAATTTGCACATGTGTACAAACATGCAAATGGGACATGCTGGACATGCATACTTTAAATAATAGAAGGAAGGATGAATGGAAAAATGTACAGAGACATTCTTGATAAAAATCTGCTTCCATCTACCAGGATGATGAAGAT